AGGCATGACGAAGCGGATATCATCCTCTTTTGGAAGGCCAAACAAAGTAGTTTCGCTTTCACAACGAAACACAGCGCCTTCATGACATGGCGGCAGCGGCAACAACAAAACTACAGCGAGAATAAAGTTAGGTCTTCTTTCTTTGCGTGAACATTTGGGCGGCATTATGCAAATCTTCCCACATCGTGACGTAGATATGTGGGGGCGTGTTAGAACGAGCCGTTTTAGGTAGGCGTGGTTGACTCTTAACTTTTATAAAGAATATCTCTTTGGATTTGAGACTTTAGTCTTTGCAACTTTACAGATCTTCTTTATGCACCAAGTGCTTGTAACACTTCAAACTTGAAATCGCATCATATGACCCCTTTAAAGTGTTTTATGTGTAATTTATTTAGATAAAATAGTACTTAATTTGAATATTGGCCATTAATCAATTATTGCCAGAACACAAAAATTAAACAAAAATATCCTTGACCATTCTGCATATTATAGTTAATGACACATTCAGTGGCATTTCATCATCAGTGAAGTAAAAGATGGCATGATGGACCATATTTAAATGTGAGGAGGGGAAAATCATTCAATAGTGACTTAAATTTGGTCTGATTCTCACAAAAAGTGATTGAATGGAGTTTTTAATGAAAGTTTCTTCTGTGTGATGCTTCCTTTAGTGTGGTGCCAAGTCCAGGTGGCTTGTTTTTGCACACGCAGACTGTAATCATTATTGATTGCCCTTCTCCACTCTGGGTAACCAATGTTTTTTTCCATTTTCTATGACGGTAGGCACAAAAGGACATTTAATGAAAGTTGACTGTATTGGTTTCTCATTAGATGTCAGATGTGTTTTCATAAACTCATACAAGCAGAAGAGTATTAAAGGGGTCCTATTATGCTCTTTTACAAAGTCTTGATTTTGTTTTGGGGCTGTACTAGAACAGGCTCTTATACTAGGTTGTTCGAAAAACACATTATTTTTCATGATTGGTCCACCTTAATCACTGAATAATGCAAACCTTTTTTTATTAACCATTTAAGCAGAAATACACCGTAAAAAGTAAAAATAGAGTAATTGTTATTTAGACCATCATATCTGACCGATTAGAGACAAAATAAAGCAAAAGAAAAGCAATGTTATGTTAACACAATCCAGATTAAGGGCAAGCGTCTGGTGCGGCAGTGTTTTGAACCCTGAGGTCATGGCAGAGATATGTCTGCTGAAGTTCAGTCCAGCTCAATCAAAGATATTATGGGAATGCGTCTTGCTGCCCCTGATACCAGTGTTTAGAAGGAGTTAAGACACCCTGTTCCTGACCCCGCATGTGGAAGAGAGGGAGGTTGAAACGTGTTGACACTGAACAGCTTCAGGTTGTTTGGCTAGTCTTTATCATATGCTCTATTTTAAGTTTGCAGACTTCCTGGATTTGCTTTGTCTTATTGGAACCACAAACTCATCTTGGACATTACAATGAGAAAATCTAATAAGGCATGTTCGTGTCTGTGTGCACTTGATACTTTTCTGACTTACAGTTCCCAATTAATTCCTTGGCAAGCATGCAACCACATATTCAGGATTGGGGTAACTAAATGCAATAATTTATTAAATACTGTGGAAAAAAACAACTTTGATGAACCGCTAATTACTAATTGGGCCCCCCTCAGTGTGTACTGTGGTTTTGGGGCCTGCTTTGTAGTTAAGGAATAGATCACCCAAAAATGTTTGCTGAAACTTTACTCACCCTCAGGCCATCCATGATGTAGATGAGTTTGTTTCTTCATCAGGACAGATTTGGAGAAATTTAGCATTACATCAGTTGCTCACCAATGGATCCTCTGCAGTGAATGGGTGCCGTCAGAATGAGAGTGCAAATAGATCCATAAGTCATACACAACTCCAGTCCATCAATTAACATCTTGTGACGTGAAAAGCTGAATGTTTGCATGACAAAGTCCTCTCTGTTGTCCTCTAACTTCAAAATCTACCAACATGTTTGTTTATAACAGTTTCTGACTGTTTTTGCTTGTATACTCTGCTTAATCTTTGCATACTTCTCTCCTGATTCAGACAAGATGAGTTTTTCATTGAGTAAAAAGCGATATTGTGGATGGATGACTTGGATTAGTTTCTTACAGAAACACAGCTTTGCACTTCACAAGATGTTAGTTGATGGACTGGAGTTGTGTGGATTACTTGTGCATTATTGTGATGTTTTTAATCAGCTGTTTGAGCTCTTATTCTGATGGCACCCATTTATTGATGAGGATCCACTGGTGAGCAAGTGATGCAATGCTAAATTTCTCCAAGTCTTTTTCGACAAAGAAACAAACTCATCTACATCTTGGATAGCCTGAGAGTGATTACATTTGAGCAAAATTTAGCACATTTTCATTTTCTGACAAATTATTCCATTAACCCTCAGTGATTCACTATAGCAACACTTGTTTAAAACAATTGCATAATAGCTATTTCACTAAATATGAGTTAAAACTATATAAAACATCAGCTCTCCTTCTGAAATGTATCATAAAAATAGTTTGGCAGACATTTATTACAGAAACTCCCAGAATGCCAGGGTTGCACAACAGACTCCATTGAGTAAATCATAGATAAACTACTCCAGATGATTGTCAGCATAATCTAATGAAACTTTATTAGAGTGCTCTGAGATTGAACATACTGAAAATAAAACATAAATCATGAATTTTATAACAAGTGCTTCTTAAAATCACACAAAAGAAGATCTTTTGAGTGATAACTCAATTTTTTTTATGTCCATACAATAAAAGTTAGTAGGGTCCAGTGCTGTTTGGATCAAGTAAATGATGACAGAATTTTTGGGTAAACTATTGTTTTAAGGGAACAGCACATATATTATCAATATCAATGTTTGGGTCTCTTAAGATGAAAGAGTAAGCTGTCAAGTTCCATATTGTTTGATGTTGTGTTCTGCTTTCATTTCTAGCTCGTGTGCAATGTCCTGATCTTCTCCTGCACTAATATAGTTGGCGTGTGCACACACTACCCAGCAGAAGGCTCACAGAGGCAAGCCTTCCAGGAGACCAGAGAATGTATTCAAGCCCGCCTGCACTCTCAGAGAGAAAACCAGCAACAGGTGAGAGTCGTCCAGATATCATGAGAGCACATTTTAATTTCTAGTGACATTCTGTGAGTCTGAAAGATTTAGTATGAAGATTCTCCAGGCACAGATATATACACTATCATTCAAAAGTCATTAGTCAGACAGATTATTATTGATCAAATAAATCCAGGCTTGGTGAGCATAATGGATATCTTTCAAAAACATTTTAAAAATCTTACATTTCTAAGTACCATAATCAGGTACCCAAAGTACCATAATTAATACCATGGTATTTATTTAAACACCTGGGAGAACCATATAAAAACTGAAGAATATTAGCATGCAACATTCCGTGCAAGTTTCTTTTTGTGTGTGTGTGTGTGGGGAAATAGCCTCAGATTTGCTTGGAATGAAGCTAAATGAATGAAAAGTCTTTCAGCTGGAGTTCATTCATATGTCCATTGATTTTCAGTAAAGAACTGAAACCGTGAGAAAACTAGTGCACGGAGACATGCAGTGCTGATTAATTTGTGAGATTAGAACCACGTCTTAGAACAGTTCATAGTGGCAACAAAGTAAAAAAAAATAATGTCAGTTTCTGCAAACACAGAAGCCCACAGAGGCCATTCATAATTTTTTCAATAAACATATAATTTTTTTTTCATATCAAGCATTTTGAAAATAACACTATGGCCTCTAGATGACTTACCAGTATTAAATAAAAAATTTTCTTACCACAGTTAGTGTACTATATGGAATATTTATTTGTGTTTTTTTTTCTTTTCTTTTGTTTGTTTGTTGGTTCTTTACTAATTTATTTTATATATTGGCTCTTTTTTTCCTTTATTGATTATTTTATTTTATTTATCAGTTCTTTTTATTTATTTGAATTTATACAGTGAATAAAAACTGTACTTTTTTAGTTTCTGTATAAATTCATATAAATAAATATACAAATAAATAAAAATAAACCAAAAGCAACATTGTTCAGTATGTATGTATCGAAATACCATAATGTTAGCATCTGATACCATCACTGGTACCACAGTGCTTTTAGTAAGTGGTATAGGGCTAAATTAGAATGAATGTAATTTTCTACAGTGTACTTCAGTTTTCTCTATTCCTGACTTTAAGATGATACCCATGTCTTTCGGCAGAGAAAAATGGATTGAGTAGATACACATGGCACTCTTCTCTTTGTTTCTACCTGTCTTTCCCTTACTATCACTGTCATCATTTGCAGGAACGCCTCCTCCTCTCTGTGCTTCCTCGAAATGTCGCCATGGAGATGAAAGCCGACATAAATGCCAAACAAGAGGATATGATGTTCCACAAGATCTATATTCAAAAGCATGACAATGTGAGGTAAGAGTGACTCCTCAAATAGCCTGAAAGACGGTAGTCAGTGTTTGCATCTCAAAGCACTTTTAAAGCCTTTTCAGTCCACAGTAATCATTGCAATTATTTTTTACTATAATTATGTTAGTACTTAGTTAGGTTATGAGATGAATGCTTTTCCAAAAACCTAGTGAGCGGCCCTACACAGTTACCCTCTTGGTAACTGAAAATGGAACATCACACGCAAACACAAAATCTGCACCCATTAGCATGTTGCTCAACTAACAACATGATACTATCACATTATTAGATGTAACATTTTTGCATTGCATGAAATATTAATAGGCTATATTTACATTTGTGAGCATTTCTCTCAGGCCATCTACCATCTCAGATGTTATTTATTTATTTACTTATTTTATAGTATTACTTATTTTATAATATTATTTTATAATGTAATTTTTGTTTATAATGTTTTTTATTTATTTTCATATATATAAGTATATACTGCTTCAGATTTCAGTGCTGTCCTGATAGGCAGCGTACTAGGTTTTGGAACAGAGCTTGTAAGTGTTTTATAAATCTGATAAGTGTTAGATATTGCACCCTCTTGTGGTTTTAGAGAAAAAACACTCGCCATCTCTTTCTCTGGCTGACCATCCATGTGTCAAGGCAGCTCTTCTGAGCGTCTATAGACACTTTCCCACTGATTGCATGCCGATTTCAACAGCACCAGACTGGCTGGATACTCACAATCACAAGAGGCCCTATTAGGTGTAGCCTGTTGTTTTACCTCATGTCGGTCTTTGATTTGTACTTCAGCTTTAAACACAGCTGTAATCTTATGAAGACTTGAGAGTTTAAAACCATGTGGGTCTCAGGTCGATGACAAAAGACAACTCTGGAATCCATGTGATGAATTATGATTCTCCACGGTTATAAATTCTAAATCTGGAGGGTAGAAGATTAACCCAAGAAATAAAGCGGTTTGAAAGGGGAGGAGTTGAATTTAGCACCAGAGTGCTAATGCACTGCTACTGCCCGCCACACCATAGTACAGCTTGAACTAGAACACAAATACACAGAATTTTATTACAGATTTTTTCCCCATAAACAAATAATAATTCAAAACATCATCTTATATATTCAGATTAATTTTGATTATTTTTTTTATTTATTTATTTTGTTGTTGTTGTTGTTGTTGTTGTTGTTGTTGAAAAGCTTCAGTGAAATTTTGTGAAATGTTTTTATATGTAATGATGGCTGATTGCGCATATAATATACATTCTAGATCTGTAGCCGCTCTGTTTTCATGAGTAAATTGTCAAAAAAGTGACCAAAGCACTTTAAATGCATATTCTGGATTAAATTCTGTTTAGCATTTCCAAATTCACGGTTAAATGGGTGTTCATACTGATTGTGTTTTTTAGTGATCAGAAGGCATTTATTTTCACCGAGAGTACCACATTTCCAGCAATGTGATTTATTGTTGATGAAACAAAGTTGAGCAGAGCTTTATACAAACTTTATTTTTTAACTTTATGCAACTATCAATAGGAGTACAGACAGTGATCCGGCACCTGATACTGTTAAGTACAGCAGCAGTGCCTACTAGAAAACAACAGCACAGAGACTCTTTGACCTCCATTGTTTTAATGGCTTGATTTTGAGGCTTGATATTCTCTGCCAGCCCTTTTCTATGATCGAATAGAGGGCAGACTACAGCAACAAAGGGCAACATGAACTTGGGCTTTGTGAGCCAGTGGGCCACGCCACCCACGCGACTCCTGGCCCTCTGGGTTGTTGTCTGCAATCGAGGGTCTGTCTCTTATCCTTTTCCAGTAAAGCCCCCACCAGATATGTTCCATGGTCAGAGGAATTACGTAAGTGTGCAGCCAAGCGATATCTCGCTAAGCGGAATATTGATAGGTTTGTACTAGAGGACCCAGTGGTACCCAGTGGTTTAATTGCTGAGGACAGTTACATAACAATGTCTGTGTTTGAATCTTTGCTCTTGAGTGAAACCCACACTATTGTGGGAAGAGGAGGCTGGGAGTTCTGCTCGAGAAATGAACTGATAGTTTATCTGTGCGGCACCAGCTAATTTAAACAGTAGTGGACATGAATGAAATTCTGATTTCTGATTTGAAATTCTGATTTGATATTTTCATCAATGGGGTCACATTCTAGGCAAAAGCAAGTCTGATTAGCCTTAGAAAAAAATAAAATGATCATTTTATTTTATTTTATCGTTTACAAATGAATGTTTAGACTCTGACACAATTTTAAGGGATTTTCCATTACATTTAGCCAAAAATTAAATTTTCAGTTTTTGTTCCTTGAACCATTTCTAATCCCCGTTTGTCACATTTCTGTGACTAAGAAAGCATGGATTGCTGTTTAGGTCTTTACTCTTGCTTAAACATCCGTTAATTTGTCCTTAAGTGAGTGGCAGGGCAAATGAAAGTTGTTTTTTCCTCCCCAAAGGGGACATGAATAACTCTGATATCCATTTCTAGCTATGCAGCACGATGAAGGACGACACATGCATGTGTTCTAACTGTGTGGCTTAAACGAAGAAAAGTCTGTAAAAATATGCTGCAATGTGCCATGTTAATATTGTTTTTTAAAAGCTGTTTTACCCATATTTTGAATTATGTATTTAATTCTGTTATATTTTAGGGTTGAAGGAAATGTCTCTAAATTACCAGGAAAAGTACTGGTAATTTTCAGTGGATTTGCTCAGATGCTGTACATTTGAAATTAATTTGATATACTAGAAGAAACAGTTTTACTTCTACAAGGAAACACTATAGTTGTGAGTAAAATATTTTACTTTTTTTTATTTATTTCAAATATTTGTTTAATGTGTAATTTTCTACAAATCACTGGTATGGAGGGAGGCAGATTTGACAGGCTTTTATTCAACAGCTGTATATTCAATATCATTATTCAGCAATTGTAGAATCAGTTTGAGTTCCAGGGGCGATGGATCAGGAGGTCAGACCTCTCAAGCAGTGACCCTTGATGGATTTAGGGGGCCATGTTATATAAGCAGGAAGTGTGACTTTGTGCAACATTCCATCCAGGGGCTTTTCTTTTTTGGCTGAAATGGTTTTCATGCTGATGTCCCTAGACAGACTATCGCTGACCAGCTACACACTCCATTTATTAAACTTCCTGCCATTTTATTAGCTAATTTTCCTGTCAACACTTTGCTAACTCCCAATATAATTTTGTATGTTCAGAGAGCAGCTACATTTGACCTTAGGGCTGCTGTCACCACAAATTCATTAACATTGCTGGCAAGAACTATTGTTTTGCCCCCATCAACACAATATATATCTCACCAGCTTCTATGAGAATAATCAGTATACAGCATGCATAATCATTATGCTTAGTATATTTGTAAAATAATTATTATTTATATGCTACCGATCAAAAGTTTGGGGTTAGTATGTTTTTTATTTTTTAAGAAATTAATATTTTATTCAACTAGGATGCATTTAATTGATCAGAAGTGACACTAAAGACATTTTATAATGTTACAAAAGATTTCTAATTCAAATAAATGCTACCCTTTTGAACTTTCTATTCATCAAAAAATCCTGAAATGTAATAAAAATGTATCACGGTTTCCGTGTATCACTGTTTTCAACATTGATAATAAGAAATGTTTTTTAAAGCACCAAACCAGAATGATTTCTGAAGGATCATGTGACTATGAAGATTAAAATATATTAAAATAGGAAACAGTCATTTAAATTGTAATAATATTTCCACAAAATTACTGTTTGTATTTATGCTCAAATAAATGCAGACTTGAGCATAAGAGACCTTCAAAAACATTAAAAAAATCTTACTGACCCAAAAGTTTTAAACTGTAGTGTACATTTTTATATTTTTATAGTATATAAAAGTGTATCTAAAACCGTTTTGAACTTATTTTTCTTCTTTTTCCTAAACAATAAACTATTAAAATGTGATTTTGAGGATGATTTTTCTTGTTGACTGGGATAAATTTAACCACAGCTATTTTCCTCTATGATTGGCATTGCTGGTCTCCAGAAAGCTGACAGTCTAGGCAGTCTTTTCTTCTAGGGTACTCTGGATTTTATTTAATTCTTTGCCTCATGTTTACACACTAAAAGCGTTGGATTAATAGCACCTAATAAAGGACATAGACTGTGTTCGTAATAGCCAGCAGAAATACTCCAGAGGTCGTAATGTGTTTGGATTCTTTTTAAAGAGCCATCCTGCCATTGTGCCACACTGCAGCGACATTTTTGGTCCAGACTGCAGGGAGCTGATGAGTCACCTCTGTGTTAACGATTAAATGAGGTTTAAAGATCCGCCTGAGATGCTCGCAGCAGTCAAGACGCTATCCTTCAGAGAGCACTGCACTCTGTCTACTTTCAGAGTCAACTAACCTTAATCCACCCTCCCAGGGGAGGCCTTTTCTTTGAGCTTTTATATATAGCAACTCTAATAGATCCGTCAGCTATATAGAAACCTTTGATCTATGACTAATATAAGGGTTTCTGCATGCTATATTGTATAAGGGAGGGTTTAAATGTAGACTTAGTGGTGTGTGTGTGCTTTTAGTACATTCAAAAATGGATATTATATAATCATTTGCTCACCCTCACACTATTACAAACCGGTATGCTGTTTTACATAGTAAAATATTAAATTAAATAATCTTTTAGATTGTTTTGATGGACTGTGTTTTTTATTTTTTTATGAAAATTCTGTAATCTTTTGGAATAATATGAGGGTAAGTTAATAGAATATCTCCTTTTGTGTTCCACAGATGATGAAAAGTCATACAAGTTAGAAAGCGAGTAAATAATGAAGAAATCATCATTTCTGAGTAAACTATCCCTTTAAATCTGTTATCTAAAGTTATAGGAGAAACCATAGCAAAATTAGTTCACAAAGTCTTTTCTTATGATCCATGCAGTCATGGATGTCCAGTCAAAGTGCTTGTTTTAGTTTGATTGACTTTTGTTTTTAAACGGCTCCTAAGAGACTCATGTACAGTACAGTCATATGATGCTTTTGTTTTGGCTGTTTTTGATCAGGGCTGATGTAATAAGATAAAAATGATTCCTGTGCTTCATCTTTGTCAGCTTTCAGACATGGTCTCATGATGCTCTTTGAACACTTGATTTACTATGAAAAGGTGGCATCATTAATTCATTACGGTGTATTGACATTGTAGAGTAGGAAGCCGGCTAAATGTAGCAAGAGGATCTGTTGTCCTTTAGTGCATTGAATCGTATCATGTAACTGACAGGGGTTAGTTCAGAGACCCAAATCATTTCCAATAATTCAAATAATCTAATTTGAATAATTAAATCCGGCAAAAAAATCAATTCAAAAATTTGTACTGCTAGAAAGTGAGAGGGCTAAAATCCAATGAAATGCTTGCTTATTATTGCTTATACAATTTGAGCAAAGTTGTCTTAGAATCAGTTGCATTGTTGTTGTATTTTTTTTTCATTTGTGAATAGCTTCGGATTTATATTTAACCTATCTGTGAAACTTGCCTTGCACTATTTGTTCTAATGACATGAATGATACCACAAATTGTAAGGTGTGTTGAGGAGAAATCCCTTTTAGACCATTTTGAAGCTGATTAGCCTGAAGTCTGCAGTTTTATTTTCAGTTTAATATATTTTTTACTTTATTTAATGTATTTAATAAATATTTATTTATAAAATTATTTTATAATATTTAGTTTTGTTTTCAGGGTCATCAAATTATGTTTAAATCAGCTTGTTTAAGATGGTTTAGTTGCTATTTTTAACCATTTCTAGCACTCTGAATATGAAATATTGAAAAATCTGAGCATTTAATTGAGGTTTGAAGGGTATTTTTTGCAAATATGCAGATACTCTGTTCAGACAAAGATTAATTGATTGAAAGCCATTAAGCAGTCAGGCTTTTTTTTCCAGGGAACCAAGCAGCATGTATGCTTTGAAAAAAGGGTGTGGCAAACAAGAACAGCCTGCCCTCTGGGCCGCTTTTAAACATTTCTGGAAATCGTCTTTGATATTGAGTCTGAGCTGAGAGGTCACGCTCACCCGGGTCCTGGGCTTTAGTCAAACCTGGCGATCTTCATACTGTCACGCTAGCTTGAGTGTCAGACCAGCCCTGAGCTGTTAGAAATAAAGCTAGATCAATGTCAGCATTGGTAAAAGCTCTGCAGATGAATATTGAATAGGAAAAGTCATTACAGCCCACAAGGTTTTGTTTTGTCTTTCATTCAAGGTGTACAAAGAAGAACCATATCTGTTACCGGGCTCCCACAGGGGAATATCATGCTTTATTCACTTTCTTGTCTGTGTAGGCCCAACATTCTCATAATGTGAATGTCATCTATTGCTAAAGAGAGCACACACTCCCATCCAAACCTGTCTGCTGTGCCATTGGCATGGTAATGGAGCTGTGATCCTGGGATCACATTAGTTAGCTCATATTGTATCTATGTAAAGTCTGCTTCACAAATGGTCAATTGAAATGAATAGCTGTGGGCGAGGGTTTCAATTGTCAGCCAGGTAACCGTGGCAACCATGTAATATAGGTGAATGTGCACTACACTGATGTGTGGGGATGAGGGCCTGAGATGATTAACAAGAATGACCTGATTTTTCATTAGGTTTATTATTCGTTTGGCAAATGCTTTTATCCACAATGGCAGGGTATATGTTTTATAATGTACTGTATGTTCCCTGCGAATCAAACTCATGACTTTGGTTTTGCTAGCAATTAATATTTCATTATGGGCTTTCTTTGGGACCGCTCTTTTAAAACACACTCACATATATACACACTGTATAGATATATCTATAGATATAGATAGTGTCAGTTATAGCACATCTCAGATTATTTATTGCGTTTGATAATGTTCTGTGTTGATTTTTAGATTTAATCATCTTTTTATGTAACAACAATATTAAGGAGGATTTCGTACTTTACTGTTATTATAGTAGTGAAACCATAAAATCTATACATAAAACTTGAAGACATTTGAAAAGTAGCAAAAATAAATGATGGTGATAGCATGGTAAAAAAAAAATAGTTTCAAGACGGACCTTCATATAACATCAAGAAAAACATCTGTTAATAAAAATCAATTCCTAAAATATAAAAGTGCCCGTAACCGATGAAACCGCTAACTCTGTTTGATGTTTCTCTTTCTCTGCAGTATCCTCTTTGCCGACATTGAGGGCTTCACCAGTCTGGCTTCTCAGTGCACTGCACAGGAGTTAGTGATGACCCTCAACGAGCTCTTCGCACGATTCGACAAACTGGCCTCCGTAAGTGTCCGCAGAACAGCCCTCGCCCTGAGCCAAACAGCTTCTTTTTTGTCGAAACACGATGGCAAACTGAGATGTAATCAGATTAATTCCGCTTGCATCCCACTCACACAGCTGACTGGGATAGAGAAGCCCTCCCTCCTGTCAGATGAGTGTTTGCGATCATGCTTCTCGCTGTTTTCCAGCTCAACTATCTCCTTGTTATCTCCGCCAGTGGTGGTGACTCATTGCAGCCAAGTTGCCATGCATTCGTGCACGTACTCTGCTGCTGCAGAGAGATGCTGTTCAAAGGAGAAACCATCTGTTGTCTGTTCAGATGTTTGCACACTTCACAAAACCTTCGAGCAAAAAGACAAAAAAGCATGCATACGCACTTCGCCCTGATGATCAACAATAGAGGTTGTTGTATGGGCTGCGGGTTAAATGAAGGCATGCACTGGGGTGACATTCAGGTGGCTGTCATAAGACCCGGTCCTGCGGCCGTGAGTCCTGTGCCCAGCCTGAGGCTTCCTCTTCTGCTCTCCATCGGTTTCTTCTCTCCTGTTTTGATGACTTACAAATAGGGCTGCACGATAAATCGCATGCGATATTTAACGCGCATCTTATCAGTAAAGCCGCTTCTGTAATCAGCGGTAAATCTCCATCACGTGCGTGCTTTCACATTGAGCAGCATTAACTACACAGAGCCGTTGTTCACAGACGAGCAGCGCAAAACCACGTTCATATTCGCGCGATTTTTTGCGCAGCTCGTCAGTGAACAACGGCTCTGTGTAGTACACTGCATCTCCACGTGGCGAATGGGCTTGTTTAGATTGTTTAGAGTGCGCATGCCTACGCAGCATACACGCAGTGTACTTTTATCCGGTTGATGAAAAAGAAACTAATGTAGGGCTGCACGATAAATTTCACATTGAGCAGCATTAACTACACAGAGCCGTTGTTCACAGACGAGCAGCGCAAAACCACGTTCATATTCGCGCGATTTTTTGCGCAGCTCGTCAGAGAACAACGGCTCTGTGTAGTTAATGCTGCTCAATGTGAAAGCACGCACGTGATGGAGATTTACCGCTGATTACAGAACCGGCTTTCTGACAAGATGCGCGTTAAATATCGCATGCGATTTATCGTGCAGCCCTACTTACAAACTAAGAAACCTATAGTACTTCAGAAAACACCACTTAATGGGATAGTTCACCCAAAAATGAAATTTGTCATTATTTGTTCAAAGTATCGTATTTGCTGTATTAGTCTTCAGAAGTTGTACAGTGAGTAAATAATGTTTTCATTTTTGATTAAACTATTCTGTTACAAAGTAAGATACCTATAGGACTCAAATAAACAACGCTTAATAGGGTATTTCAACCAAAAATTACATTTATGTCATTACTTTTCACCCTTATGTCATTTCAATACCAGTAAGACTTTTTTTTTTCCTTCCGATTTTTGAAGATTATTCTGGTTGTTCTTTTCCATGCAATTACTATGAATGGTGACTGAAGGTTTCAAGCTTCAAAAACGATGCAAAAGCACCATAAAAGCATCATATATGCTATATTACGCTATATTGCAAGTTATCTGAAGTCGTACTTTATGATTCACAAATAATGACAGAATTTTCAATTTTGGTTGAACTATTCTTACAGTATCTGTTATCTGTTATATCTATTATATTTCCTTTTTTGAAATCCATTTCCAAAAGCTTTTTGTTTAGACTACTCATGTTTTCCAAGCAAAATATCAAGACAAATTGGGTTGGATTTTTGAATTCATGAAAGTGGGATGCCAAACTTAGTACATAAAAAATACACTGTAGAGACAGATTAAAATCTGACATTTAAAGCCATTTGGGAACAGTTAAGATTTGAGTTTGTTTTGTTATCATAAATCATATAAATCCCAATGAAAATTCATAACCTTAAAAGGAAAACCATTTGCGGTATGTGAAGGGGTTTTTAATGGGAGAAAGGCTATGTAACACATTCCCTGTATGGGATATCTACTAATACACATTAATGGCTATGAAATGACATGTAATGCATTAATTTTTAGTTTGGAGTGAAGGGTTTTATATATATATATAAAAAAAACTGTGACCTACAGCAACTCTGTAAAAAATTTGATTATTTGCTCATTGTTGATCCCATTTACACCAGCCCAATCAGCGTTACTCTGTTTGGTCATTCTCTGTGTGTCTGCAGGAGAATCACTGTCTGCGGATTAAGATCCTGGGCGACTGCTACTACTGCGTGTCGGGGCTGCCTGAGGCCCGTGCTGACCATGCACACTGCTGCGTGGAGATGGGTGTGGACATGATCGAAGCAATCTCGTGAGTATTACAGTTTTACATCTGTTCATCAGACAGGAACAGTAAGGCTTTTATGTCTTGTTTTAAATGTCTCCCTGAAAATGTACTTCAGCCAGGAGATACAAAAGAGATGCTACGGTGAATCAGGACCTGGCAATTTCCACAAATATATACACACAAAAAAAGTTTAGTTTCCATAATAATGTGGAATATATACTGGTTTTATGGAAGATTTACATTCGCGCAAATATGTGTGTGTGTGTATAGATAGATAGATAGACACACACATACTACACACATATATATATATATATATATATATGTATATGTGTGTATGTATTTTTGTGTGTGTGTGTGTGTATCTGTATGTATATCAGTGTTTCCCCTGCCATTATATTAGGGGGGCGGCCCGAGGTCAAGTTAATTTTATTTAATTATATTTTCTCTATAGCGCCAGATCACAACAGAAGTCATTTAAAGTTACCTTTCCGATATAACAGGTCTATACCTTGTTCTTTTATTAAGCAAACTAAATAGCCTTATGTTTTTTATCTTATTTACACGACAGCATGTCATTTCGGTCTCTACGTTATGGTCGCGCTCTCTGCATCAACCACAGCGGAGTTCGCGCGCACGCACACACACACACACACACACACACACACACAAGTGAGCACACTTCCACTCCCATTAGTATTTGTAAATAAGCCGCAAAACGATTCATATTTAAATTAATTCTGCGTGTCTCTGTGTAAATGAATGGCACAGACCGCTTTTACCACTCGTACTGAAGCGCGCGTGACGCTTGCAGTGATTTAGCGTCTGCCGTCTCACTAAATGAGGACATAAATACATGAACAACATCTCCAGAACTTTTCTGAGAGTCGCTTCATGAGCATTTGACCGTTTCATTTGAGTAAAACTATCCTCATATCATATACACACAGAAATGTAAAGGTATTCACGGCAACCCGTCAAAATAAAAGTTCGGTTTAACTTGAAGGCATTGGCAGAAATATATTACTATTGTAATCAGTAGAATGTACGTAATAGGCTGCTGCTACTACTACTACTAAAATGATTAAAACCTTATTTTTAAGGAATAATCATCAATCATCAATATTTCTTCAATGTTTTAATTGTAATATTAAATTACCTTTATTTTCCCAAAAAATAAAATTTGTTTAATTTTCATTACTTATAAGATAGATTAAATGAGTTTTATGCCTTAAAAAATGTAAATACACAACACAGAATTTCTGAGCAAAAAATCATAAGGCTATTGTAAGAATAAATGAAACTTATTTTTATGCTTTCAAATAATTAGACATTCTAAAACAGAATTTGGTAACAATAAAACATAAGGTTGAAAAAACATTTCATAGGGCCCTAAACATGTAATATTTGTTAAACTTTTAATAAATTGATGTTAAATTGTTTAAGTTTCATGATTTTAATTAATTAGACATGCTTTTTGATTAATTAAAATAACCCCCCTCCCCAAAAGCCGTAAACCTAGGGGAAACACTGTATATAATAATTAATTAAAATATTTTTCATTAAACATTAAACTTTTAAAACAGTTATGTTAGACTAAATCATGTTACCAATTTTGTTTTGTAATTGTCTGCCATGTTGTTGTTTATTCCTAGAAAATTTCAAGATTTTAAGTTATTTTTTAAACAGGGTTGCCTCAATAAGTAATGAATCAGGAATGAAAAATAAAGAAAAACAGCTCATATGATATTCAATATTTTGTACCCGGTTTACGGAACATGCCTCTGTAACTGCACCGAATGAAAGTTCACAGAAGGGCTGAGCTGAGAGAGAACACTTAATCTAATTGACCTGCTTTTACTAATCGTGACTAAATTGTTATAAGCATTACATTCTCGCTAGAAACTTTGAATTACCCTCTATGAGTTTGTCCTGCTATTCTAATTGGTCAGGTCAGTCACCTCTTAATTGAGTTGTTTCCAAGTTATTTGTCTTGCATGCGTGTGGACGTGTCCACAGTCCTGACTTCTCTAATGTTCAGTGTCTCTGAGCAGTTGTTTGTTAAGGCAGGAATGGTGGTGACTTGCTTTCTGCTCCAATGAGCACGTGTCTGTGTATCTCTGAGCTGCAGCCAACCGCACCAGCACCCCATCACAGGAAGAGACCATTTTTCCGCAGACTTGCCTGTCGTCCTCAATGTTCAAAAAAGTTTGATGGCTTGTTTGCCGTGTGATGTCGGGATCAGAATGTGCTGTGTTGTTAACTTGTTGATGTGCCCAGTGGAAAGGTGCCTTTCAGCGTGCGCTAATCCACCTTAGGACTTTTTCATATAGGGAAAAGTGAGATGAGATGTCAGTGGATAAGGTTATGCATTATATCATATATTAAAATGCCAGGGTCCAAATGTAGGAAATACATTATATTACATTTGTCACACTGAAAAAGAGAGAGTTAGCAAAGAGAAACCAACCGTTAAAAGAAAATGATCACAAATCCCCACATGTTAAAAGCTCAGCATCAACTGTGAATGAAACTTGAAAGGAGAGAGGAACATTTCATAATTCCTGCAATCTTATTGTGTGGAATTTTAATGTCTTTGTTTGTTCAGTCCAGTTTGGGATCTTTTTGTGTTTTGTTTTGCTTTGTTTGTTGCTTTTTTAAAATTTTTTTATTTTTTTGCTTTGCTTTTTGTTTTGCTTTGCTATTTGTTTCTTGGGGGAAAAAAACAATCTAATTCAATTTTATATTTTTAAAAATGAAAAGCAAAAATGTTTAAAGTTCTTTCACCATATTAAAATATTCTGAATACTTAACCTTTTCCTGGCTGGTTATGGATATTCTAAGTAAAATTCTAAGTTTTAATTTAAATAAGACTCATATTTGAATAATATTTTTTTTGTGTTCATATTTTTATTTGAGATGTAAATCATTCGCAGATACACCTGGACATGTCACTGCTTATTATCATTGGGAAAGTGCCATTTTTTTTAGAGATATTATTATTTCTATGAAGACACTTTCTTCTCATTTTAGTTGATAGCAGACACCATGATGTGTCTGCTAATAAGGTTTATTAGTTTTAAATTTGTTTACATGTAAACAACTTTCACAGTTTTGACCATTAAAACTGGAAGTTTAATATCACCTTCAGAGTTCAAATTTAGTATATTGTTAATGTGTTATATCAAAATATATGATTAACTGAATTAACAACCGGTATATCTGTTTTTTTTTTTTTTGTTTTTTCTTTGGCCCCAG